CCGCCGCTCCCGCGCTCCGCCGCCGAGCCCGCCGGGAGCTGCCGCCAGCCAATGGGGGAGCGGCTCGCGCTCGCCGCGCCTCGTTCCCGTCCTCACTTCCACTTCCGGCGGCGGAGGGGGCGGACGTGCGGCGGCGGCAGCGGAGCCGACGTGTCTCAGCGGATACCGGCGACATGGTAAGGACGGAGGTTGGGGGGACCGGGGGTGGCTACAGGGGGCCTGACCCTGTGGTGGCCCGGCCCCGCTGAGCGCCGCCGTGTCCCCGCAGGAGCTGGAGGCGATGAGCAGATACACGAGTCCGGTGAACCCGGCCGTGTTCCCGCACCTCACCGTCGTGCTGCTGGCCATCGGAATGTTCTTCACCGCCTGGTTCTTCGTGTATCCCCGCAGCTGAGCGCGGGGGAGCGGGCGGGGGGTCCTGTCCCATTGCTGTGCCTCCTAATCCCGGGTTATGGCCCTAAATCCCGGGGCCCGGGGAGCGGGTGGGGGTCCCCTCGCTTTGCTGTGCCTCTGTTGTCACCTTAACCCCGGCCTGGCAGCTACGAGGTGACATCCACCAAGTACACCCGGGACATCTACAAGGAGCTGCTGATCTCGCTAGTGGCCTCGCTCTTCATGGGTTTCGGCGTCCTYTTCCTGCTGCTCTGGGTCGGGATCTATGTCTGAACCCGCCGGGGGGCCTGGATGGGGGGTTCGGGGAAGATCTTTTTATATTTCTTTTATATTTCAACGAGAAAACGGCTTTAGCAGGTGTGGTCTGCGACAGGCAGTGTCCCGTACGTGATTAAAAGTGGCTCTGTGACACACCTGCCTGCGGACTCCTGGTCTGTCTTTTTTTTTTTTTTTAATACCTGCCTTTTGCAAATGGCTTGGGTAGAATTATGGGGGGCTCTAAGGCTGGAAAATCCCTCTAGGATCATCCAGTCCAACCATTTCTCCAGCACTGCCAAAGCCACCGCTAACCTACGTCCCCAAGTATCACATCCACAAGGCTTCTAAATCCCTCCAGGGATGGRGACTCCACCACTGGAGCCTGTGCAGAGCTCTAAAACCCTTTCCATGAAGGAATTTTTCCTAATGCCTAACCTAAACCTCCCCTGGCACTGCTTGAGGCTGTGTCCTCTTGTCCTGTCRCTTGTTCCCTGGGAGACCAATCCTCCCTGGCACCAACCTTCTGTCAGGGATTTGTGGAGAGTGAGAAAGTATTCCCTGAGCTTCCTTTTATCAATATTGGCACAAGATCCAGGGACCTTGGGATATCCCCAGTGTTATCCCCGATTTCCGTGCTGTGTGTGGTCACAAGTGTTGCAGTGCCACCTYGTGTCGTGCTGTCACTTTGTGTCCTGCTGCAGCCAGGCTGTGGAAAAATTATCCTAAACCCGCTTTTAATCCCTCAGTCTTTGCCATCGGACCCCTCCTCCTTTTTTTGGGAATGCTATGCCTGTTCTCATTCCCAAGCAGGAGTTTCGTGGTGCTGGATATGCCCTTCATTAATTCCTGAATTAACTGCCTGGCCTAGAAACAAGGAATAGATTTTTGGGTCTTTAAGAAGCAGGTTGGAATTTTAGCCCAACTTTCAAATCATTCCAGTTCCAAATCACAAATTCAAGCCCCAATTTCGTATTGGGGAACGAATATTTCCTTCTGTGGACTCTTGCATCCTTCTGAATCTGACATGTGAGTAATGAGAGGTCAGCAGCAGGTTTTTCTTTTCCTTTATTTTTTTCTTCCTTTCTCCTTTTTTCCTTCTTTTCTTCTTCCTCTTGGTCCTTCTGTTCTGGTTTTTCATTTTCCTTTTTCCATTTAACTTTTCCCTTCTTCCTTTTCCTTTCTTCATCTCCTTCTTCCTTTATTTTCTCTTCCTAATTTCTTTTCCCTCCTTCCCTTCTTTTTATGCCTATTCCAAATGATCCTGACTGGACACATCCAGAAATTTCCACTGACTGAAGACTTGGAATTTCCTTCATCCCGTGGGTAGTTTTACAGTCACTCACCTGAATTATTCCCTTGGAAGGGAGGAAAACACCAGGASCCATCCTTGGATACAAAGCAGTATTTATATATTTTATTCATATGGGCACATTTACCTCCAGCATAAAACAAAGTCTAAATAAGCCAAACAAAACAAAACGAAACAAATCTGGGGAATCTGAAGACTCAGCCCTCAAATTCAGCAAAATATAAATATAAATCAGGAAGAAAAGAGGGAAACCACACTTGTTCCCCACAAATAAAAACCAGGAATCRATAATAACCTGCTACAAATGCAACTCTACAAACTGGCTGGCAAAATACAGTGATTAAAGCTGTGGCAGCAACATTTAAAACCAACAAAATTAGTGCTTTACGTGGTGGTTTTTTCCTTAATTCTTCCAGTGGTGCCATAGTCTCTATTTACAGGCTTTAAGCTCCATCAGTAGGACAGAAGAGTTGGGAATTTGCTTTTGAAACAACTCCCAAAGAGGCTCGTTTCCACCCTTTTGTCGTCCTGCCAGGAATGTCTCTTTGCGGCTGCACAGGGAGGGATTTCCTGAGCTGGAGAGGTTGGCTCAGGATTCCCTCCATCCCACGCAGGGAAAGGCCTGATTGTGAACTCTCTTGGTACTGATTGGGGACAGGGAAGGGGCAGAGATGCGTTTGGAGGCGGGGAATCCATGCAAACAGCTGTTTCCACGGGCCTGGAAGCAATTCCATGACTCCATGTTATAATTCTGAACCCCTCTGGAGCTCGTTGCTGCCTTGCTGGGCAGAGCTGATGGATGATTTTTATTATGGAATCCTGGAATGGTTTGGGTGGGAAGGAACCTTAAAACCCATCCAGTCCCACTCCCTTCCATTGGTCCAGACAGCTTCAAACCCAYCCAACCTGGCCTGGAACACTTCCAAGGATGGAACATCCAAAACTTTTCTGGGCAACCTGTGCCACTTTAAGACATAAGGTACTATTGACACAAAAAACTTCATCCTGAATCCCTGTCTTCTCCTGATCCCACGGATTGCTGCCAGCTCTGTGTGGGCAGGGCTGGCTTTGGCACTCCAGAAATTGCCACATCCCAGTTAAATCACCCAGGGCACTGTTTCTGAGGCAGCATTTGGGAATATATGTGGKAAAATACTGTTCTTTGGGCTGTTCCATAAGGAAAAAGGCACTAGAGATGTTTCCAAAYCCTCAGGCACTTGGTTTGTTGGGAATCTCCCTAAATACTGAGTGTCATTGGGACACSTGAGAGATCCCAACTCCTCCTGGGCCACCACTGATTGATTCCTTTCCTCAGGAGTGAGCTGGGATGTACTGGGGGGTCTTKGCTGGGTGAGGKGGGGTGATTGCAGGCTCTGGCCCCCCAACATTCCCTGTTGCACTTTTATTCCAGCTTGGCATCACTAATCTGAGGAAGGATGTGCCAGCCTGGGCCACTGATTGCCAAGGGGACAACACACCTACCTGCCAAGGAAGTCACTTCTCAGTTTAAAACCAGGAAACACACTMAGGGAAGAGTGCTGAGCTACAACCAAGTGTTTCCTTCCCAATTTCAGAGAGAAACAGAGAATCCTGCTGAGTACAGACCCCACCTGCCTGCACAGGTATTCCCAAGACTTAAGGCATCCTGTTGTCCCACTGAGCTTCCCAAAACTGGGTTTTCTGACTGCTTGGCTGGTCAGAATTCCCTGCTTGCCCACTATTCCCTGCTTCTCAGGATTCAGTGGATTTTAGGCTCCTGCTAGGCCTTGAAACCTCCCTACAAACAGTTTTTGGAGGCAGATGCCAAATCCAAGTGACATCACCAGGAATTTTAGGGCTGCTTTGCTGGGATAAGCTCAGKAGGGGGATGATGGGAGATGTGCCCAGGAACCATCATTTTACTTGGATGAAACCCATCTTTATTTTTCTAAAACTACTCCCCATGTGGCCTGCCCCCATCTCGCCGTTTCCTCGGGGAAATCCATCTTGGAATAACCTGGAGGTGGTTGAGCCTCCAGGATGTAGCACAAGGGGCCAGAGCAGGATGGGGAGGAGGAAGCACAGGAAGCCACTTGGCATTCCCACGGGACACAYGTGACTCAATGGGGCTAGAAGGAAATTCCCATTTTTTTTACWGCTTAAACCCCACAAGAATTCAGTAGTATACCAAGTTAAAGACTTGTAACAGTAAAATATCCCAAATTCCCCCAGCACAACTCTCTSTGAGGGCAGGGACAGCCTGCAGCTGCTGCCATCCCTCTTTCTGGGAGAACAGCACCCTCTCCTGAGGCAGAGATGCAGCCTGGACACAGATCCTGGTGTTCCCAGGGACTCAGCCTTGCTTYGCAGGGCGCTCCAGGCTTTGCCAGTGCTGCACATCTGGCCAGAGGTTGGCACTGGCTCCAGAGCCAACCAGGCAGCTCCGCACACACCACTCCAAGTGGATAAAAATGGATCCCACCACACTGAATGCAGGACAGTCCCGGTCATTTGTCACCTCTGGCTTGGGGATAAGTGTCCCCAGCTGTGGCATGGCCTTGGCAGCAGCTCGAGTGGGGGTTTTACCCATCCAGACCTGGATATCCCACATGGGGAGGGGATTTAAGAGCACAAAGAGGAGGGGGAATGACGTCGAAGCTGCTCTTTTCTCTGGTTGTTCCCAAAGGAATGTGTCCACTGATAGGTCTGGGAGTCTCTGGGAAGTCTGTGGGAAGTGGCCCTGGGCCAAGCAGAAGGAACAGCAACTCCAGTGTATGACTTCCAGTAGGTCCAGGCACAGCCTTCCTTTCCAGGCCAAACTCCAATGTCTGGCTCTTGGAAAGGGCTCCAGTGTTGAAAAAATTCCAGTGTTGTGAAGAACTGATGTGGGACACATGGGAGCACTGGGATGGGGCTCCTGTCCACGGAAGAAGCATCCCTCTGGGATGTGGCAGAGCCTTCCACACTCAGTCCAGTGTGCTGCTTCCAAATCCAGTGTTGGAAGGGGAGGGAAAAGTGGACACAAACATCCCCAGAAGGGAAGGAGAAGGATGTGGGATGCTGGGAATCGGTGTGAGGTCCCCCCAGGAGCCACCACAGGGCTGCTGGTGGCTTTCAGGTCCTGTGTGTGCTGAGCTTCAGGGTCTCCAGCCAGCACCACTCCTGCTCCAGAGTCACCGCAGGACACGGGGATGAGGTGGGGCTGGGACCCAGCGGAGCAGGGAATTCGGGAGGCTCCCAGTGGCACCAGTCCCCCTCCCGACTCCAAGCAGAGGGCACTGGTGCTGCTGGAACTCACTCACAGAGCCARTAGAACTGGAAGTAATAGTCAGTGAAGAGGTGTCCCAGCTGCTCCGGGGAAGTGCTGCAGTCGGCTCGGCCCTGGGAATGGGAAAAGCAACTTAGGTGCGACTCCAAGGGGGGAATTCTGCCTGGATTACAGGCTGGGGCAGAGAAACACTGTCCTCCCASCACCCACAGGAGTCTGAGACACTTTTGCTGCCACATGACTGCTAAAGCWGTCCTGATCCCACCTTTCCTCACGTCCCTGGATAAGCTGTGGGCACTCACCGGCTGCGCCACTCGGAAGTGGTAGGAAAACTCCCGGAAAGACAGCATCACCAGAGGCCAGTGGTGKGTGATGTCCTGGGGAAAGAAAGGGGACAGCTGGGATGAGGTCAGGGATGAGCTTGGGGGATAGTCTCCAGGTTGGCTCGGTGAGGAAATCCACAGTGCTGTCAAGTGACCCCATGGAGCACAAATGGGATGGGGAAGGGCTCTGGGAACTGGGTGGGGCTCACCCTGGAGCAAAGGAGCTCAGGGGAGCCTTCTGGTTCTGCACAACTCCCTGACAGCAGGGGGCAGGCGGTGGGGGATCAGCTCTGCACCCAGGGAACAAGGGACAGGATGAGAGGAAATGGCACCAAGCAGTGCCAGGGGAGGTTTAAGTTGAGTATTTCATCACAGACAGCCGTGGAGTCTCCATTCCTGAAGGGATTTAAAAACCATGTGGATGTTGCACTTGGAGACACGGTGGTCTTGGCAGTGCTGGGAGAATGGCAGGACTTTTCCAACCCCAATGATTCCATGTGTATTTTGTGAGCCATTCCCTTCGCCCTACCTGTGCATCCGTGGAGTYGGTGGAGCTGTTCCTGCTCACAGCATCCTGGCAGGGATCACTGGAGATGAGGCCACAGAGGGAGATGGACACAGCAGAGGAGGAGCTGGGAAGGGAGGACACTGTGAGAGTCTGGAAAGGGGAACATCTGTCCCTTCCTTGTGGAGACACTGTGGCCACATTAACCAACCCAGGGGCACCCCAAGAACACGATCCACATGCACTCACTTCATCTCCAGGGTCAGGTTGGTGTTCACGGCTGTCTGCTGGCTCACGGGGATGCGGTAGCTGAAATTCCCACTCCTGGGAACACAGAARGAGCATTAGATGTCACTATCTGTGACCAGACTGTGGGAAGGCCGGGACAGAACCCAAAATCCCGGCAGGCTGAGAATTCAGAAGGGAGAACTTCCCAAATATTCCAAGGACAAGCCCATCACCAAACACAACCCCTGAGGGGAGGCTGGGAGCACCAGCTCCTCTTCCCACGGAGCGGCACAAGCCAACAACAGAAAACACTCAAGAATATCTTGGAAAAACACCARGATTTTCCCATTTGCTGCTCCCACAGTGCTGCTACCACCCAAGTGCCACCAGCCCACCCTTCCTGCTCACCTGCAGGCGTCGGCAGCAGCACAGTACTGGGAATGGATGGCCAGGTTGATCTCCAGGATCCGGATGGATTGCAGCACCGGGCTTGGCCCTGCCAGAAGGGAGAATGGGGTGTTCAGGAACAGCAAAGGGAAAATCCCRAGGGAGTAGGCTGGGAGGGGAAGAAGATGGGATGCACCTACCATCCGTGCCAGGCTCCACGCGGGGCCGCTCGCTCACCGGCTGCCGGAGGCTGCGCTGCTGCCGGGAGCTGCTGCGGGAGAGCGAGAGGTTGGAGACGTACTTGGATTTGCCCTGGATGTGGGAGAAGGGGGAGGAGGGGCTGGCATTGGGGCTGCCGAAGCTCTGAGACCTGTCAGGAGTCTTTGGCCACTTGGTGTAGGAGCTGGATTTCCCAGTGATGCCCCTGGATTTGGCTTTGATATTTGTCACCGGCAGAAGGGAGGGCTGGCTTTGGTCTGCRGAAAAATGGGAGAGAAGGTTGTGCTGTGAGACAGGGGGAGGCTGGTGCTTCCCAGGTTGCCCAGAGAAGTTGTGGCTGCCCCTGGATCCCTGGAAGTGTTCCAGAACAGGCTGGATGGCGCTTGGAGCAACCTGGGCTAGTGGAAAAGTGTCCCTCCCCATAGCAGGGGGTGGGACTGGATGAGCTTTAAGGTCCCTTCTGATCCAAACTATTCCAGGATTCTGTGCTTCCATTCCCTCTGTCCAGACAGAACTGGTGATGGAATGAGGAGGAAACAAGGTCAGACGTCAAGAAGCTTCCCATGACTTGGTGGTGGCAACGTGGGAAGCTCCAAATCCTTGTTGTCCCCCTGGCAACAGGATCCAAATTGTGCCACATGGACAGAGAAGGATGTAAAAGATATTTATAAGGATATAAAGGATAGATACAAGGACAAAAGGGAATATATATATGTTTATGTAAGGCTATSAGCTATTAAAGAGCTTCCAAAGGAGTGGAATGAGGATGAGGAAAGATCCAGAAGCGAGAGGATGCTGGAATTGGTCATCCTGGAGAAGGGAAGACTGAGGAGACCTTCTCACAAGGAACAGGTGTAAGACAGGGCAGGGGACACAAGGTGACACAAACCTTGGAGATGTCCTGGCATTTCTGGGAATCTGGGCTGGCCCTCATCTGTCCGGTTGGTGGCGTGGGCAGGGCTGCTCTCCRAGGGGACAACGGTGGAGACATCAGTGGGAACAGTGGAGCAGCAGGTGGAGAAACAGGGAGGRCTGAAACAGGCCAGCACACTGCGACTGGGAATGCCGAGGGCTACTCCATGTGTATCTTCTGGGACTGCAGGRACACAGGGAATGAGTCAAGAGATGGAACAGGAGCAGCAACCGGTGTCCTGCACCCTTCCATGAACCCAGAGCCATCCCCAGSCATCACTCACCGTGCTCCGGCGGGGTCCTGCCCCCAGCTCCACTGGATGTGGCCGTGGATCGCACTGTCTGCGTCTTGTCGATGTTCTGGCTTGACCTGGAATGCAGGAAAAGATGCTGGAAACCTCCTGGATGGGGACAACAGGGTCACTTGTAGGTGGGGAGAGAAGTGGCTGCAGCAGGATAATGGGAAGAGGGCCATGGAGCAAAGGGAGATGTGGAGGAGAACAGAGTGATCTGGGAAAGGTGRGAGAAAGGCAGCAAGGAGAGCTCAGAAATTCCACTGAATATTGTGTGGCAGTTCCATGTCCGGCAGGGAAAAGTCTCAGCTGGTCCAGAGGATGCCAGCAATGCTCCTGGAACATCCTGGAGCAGGGAGTACGTGGTGGATTTGACTCCCAGCAGCGATCTCCTGGGTGGATTTAGGTGCTTGGGAATCAACAGGCTCCAAGTTCTCACCATTCCCTAAGGAATGTGCCCCTTATCCCTTGAAGATTTTTGTTCTTTAGAAACACTCATAGTCCCCCCAAAATTCATCCCATGGAATTCCAGGTGTTTCATTGCAGCTAGCCAAGACCTGAGCTGAGGACATCACAGGCATCTCCTGGGGGAAAGGGAGATGGGAAAAGGAGGAAATCTTTCTCCCACGTCTGCAGCACAAGGAGCACTTCTGGACACCTGTGTCCATGTTTCCGTGTCCCTGATTTCTCTGGGGTTAAAGGAGCTTCACTCATTTAGAGGAATTAAAAAACTTTATCATCTGCAAGATTTATCTTATTAGAGGCATTCCTTTTCTAGGTAAGAAGAGACTCAATGCCAGTCTCCTGAAAGGAATGTGGGCACAAGCCTCTGGAGCTTCACCTTCATCCCTGTCAAACTCCAACTCTTATCCCTCATATTCCTCCACTGCATCATCCCTTTTCCCTACATGGCTTTATCTTCCTCCTGCTCTCCCTTCAGGATGCAATTTCTTTATCTAACCTTTAATTAATAGATTTTTCCATTTCCTAATCCTAATTTCCCCTCCCTGATGATGCCCATAGTCCCTCCTCCTGGAATCCCACTTGAAGCTCCACATCCCTTTCCATGTTTTCAATTTTGCTTCAGTTTCTTTGTCATTCACAGTGCAGATGGCAGAAAAGAAAATAAGAGGAATTAAGAGAAGGGATGAAGGAATTAATTAAGGGAATAATGAAAAAGTCACATACCGTGGACACAGAGCGACCGGAATTCCGGGACCCCCGTGCCGAAAGAGGGCCAGGAGACAGGCAGTGGGCACAGCAAAGGAGCTACAGGATAGTGCAGGGAGACAGGGAGAACAGGAATGKGGGAAGATGAGCAGGAGGAAAGGGAATGAAAGAGGATATGGAATGAGGGAATGAGGAAATTAAACACAAAGTGGAAGGACAATGGGTTGGATGAGAGGTTGAAGAAGAGAAGGGAGAAAAACGGGAGAGGGTAAAAGAGGGGGGAAAAGAGACTCATTATCAGGTAACACGAGCTCCCAAAACTGATCCAGCCCCGCTGCACCGGTGGGATGAGGCTGGATTAGTCCAGCTGTAGGCATCCAAGGAACATTCAGCACATCCTAACAGGATATTCCCTTTTCCTTCTCTATTCCTCACTTCTCAATCCCGATAATTCAACCGCTGTCAGACTGGGATGTGTGGCTGTGCTTGGCTGGATTTGCAGCTCTGGAATTGTGCTCAGCAATCCCAGTTTCCATGCTCCAGCCTCTCCCAGGTGACCTGATCCCAGTGATTCCCGAAATACCCACCCATCGATGTCCACAAGATCCTCCTCGCTGCGCAGGCTCAGCACGTAGAGCGTGGACATGGACACCACGCTGGAAAAGAGAGAGGGACAGGCTGAGCAAGGGCATGGAGCAGGGATATAGCATGGGATCAATCCGCTTCCAAGGGATCCCAGCCCGTGACAGATGGAGGCCCCRTCCCTAGARGTGCTCAAGATCAGGTTGGAACAARCTGGGATAGTGGAATTTCCCAGCTCATGGCAGAGGGTTGGAGCCAGATAAACTTGAAGGTCTCTTCCAACCCAAAGCATTCCAGGATTCTCTGGAAGAAGCCATGGATCCAGAGCCCCTTGCTGCACACCTCATGGATGAGCTGGAGGGAGCCCATGGAGAAGCCCAGGATCTCACCTGAATGCCATGATGATGACCAGGGCAATGATGGTGCCCTGAAGGAAGCGCTGGCTGATGCAGGCCTGCTCCGGAACAACTGATGGAGACTGCGAGGGAAAAAAACCTGGATCAGCTCAGGATCCGTGGCTCAGCCTAGGATCCCCTGGATCAGCTCAGGATCCCTGGATCAGCCTAGGATCCCCTGGATCAGCCCAGGATCCCCTGGATCAGC